TAATACTTTCTTCAATGTGTTGTTGTGTTTATTCAAACATTAATATTTTATTGTTCACTTTTTAAATGTTTGGCTTTACTGACTTCTTTTTCTTTTTTTAATGCTTCACATACATGTGTCAAAGACGAAACTTCTTTTTGTAAAACGTCAATTCGATCGTTAGTTAATTTAAAGTTTTCAATTTGGAATGCTAAACATACTTAAATTATGTTTTGCAAAGATCTCATTAGCTACAATAATGTTGCCTCAATTTGATACCTAAAAATCATCATTGCCATTACAATTTGTTCTGAATTATCTACTTTATTAGAATTGTTTGCATTATTGCTTTCATTAGCATTTTCTTTATTTAATTTGTCACAAGAATATGCTTTGTTTGTTTGAAGAGAACATTAGTTTATGGGGTGCCAGCAGTCACTTTCAAATTTTTTAAAATGACTGCTGGCACCCCATAAATAACTCTTCACAACACTTTTTTAAAACAAAGATTTGAACAAATAACTCTTGTTTTTTATCTCATAGGACGCTATTGTTACTTTTGCAACTGGTTTTGGTTTGATTTTTGGCGTTAAAATATCCCGTTTGAAAATAAACTTGCGTCCAGTATCGGATTGTGTAATCGTTTTTCAAAACATATCATCTTTGACGGCACATTTTTGCAACAATTCAGCCAAAGATTTGCGTTTTAAAAATATGTCTATTTTCATTTGCTTTTTCGGACCTTTGACAGCAGATGTTTCTTTAACTTTTGTATTTTTAATAACTACAGATGGTGAGTGATTTAAAAATTTATAGATTTTGTGAGTGATACTACATTATGGATGGTGAGTAAACAAACTATGTGTGCAAACTTTTACATTTTTGAGAGATTTACACATGGTACATTTTTGCTTAATTAGCTAAATTGGCAAAGATTTTTAAAAATACATCCAGACAGCAGAACTTAATTATAAAAACATCACTAATCGCAAAAGAAAATTTCGCTATAGCGTCGCCTCAGGGAATTAAAATGAAACATCTAGTCAATTAAAATTATTATAAATTGTCTATAATTATGCCAACCTCTGGTTTTTTGTTTTGAATAAGTTTTTTTAAATAAAGATCTACAGATTGCTAGATTTATTAAGTTTGAAATATTAAATTTTTAAGTACTTCATGCTACATTTCTTGTACGTAAACTTTAATATGGTGTAAAACATAAAAACAGCAGTGTACTCACTTACTTTCTCGTTTTTTGTAATATTTCGATTTTAATGGTTTAGATCGTCAATAGAGGCGAAAAATAAATAAAAAAACCGTTAATATAAAAACCTTTACAAAGTCGAATATATAAGAAGATATTAAAATATAAAGAAATACATAAAGATGACGTCAGTAAAAATAATCTTGTTGTTTTAAATTAGAGGTCTCCAACTAAATAACATCTTCAACTAAGAGAATTCTTCAACAATGTTTTTTGGTGTATCCAGTCAACTTTGCGGTCGTGGCGCAAAGGTTTGAGCGCTTACTTTAAAAGCAAGAGATCCAGGGTTCAAAACGAGTTCTAGGCATATTTTTCAGCATCGGTAAGGAAGAAGGCGTGAGCTTTTTAGTTAAATGCTATCCGCGGTGAGCGGTTGTAAGACAGTTAGGTCATCTTAAAGCGCCTAAAACAATAATAGTTACTAAAAAAAAAATACCGTGAAATTCTGAACAATGTTAAGTTGCTCCAGAACCATACCAATTGCCGTTCGCGCTATTTACTTGGGGTTCAATACTTCTTTGGAAAGTTCTCTTTTTTGTTTCTCTAATATAAGTTCTACCACACAAACACGTAAGCTTGTACACCCCAAGGTTTCTATTTGGTTTAATTTAGATTTGTTGTTTTTTTAAAAATAAGTTTACATATGTTTTTAGTGGTAGCCAAAGGAGATTTATTATTGATTTTTTTTGTATTCGAATAAACTGTTTGGATTGTTTTTGCTTAAAAAGTGATTTGAGGCAACTGCTTCTTTATGAACGATCTTTTTACACCTTCTTTTATGACCGTCTTTATCAAATATATTTGTTATAAAATGAATTTCGTTGTTAATATATTTATGAGAACAAAGTTTTTGGTCGCTTGTGATATGAAATCTTGTGATATGAAATCTTCATTAATCATAGCAGGATTAATATTGAGTTGGGTTTTATAGGTGTGTTTATTTTTGCTGATTTTAGAATTTTAAAATCTTAATGAGAGTTATATATATATATATATATATATATATATATATATATATATATATATATATATATATATATATATATATATATATATATATATATATATATATATATATATATAGGGGAGAGCGGGGTTGGTTGTCACAACGTTTACTACAAGAAATGTTAAAAAAAAAAAAGGTTTAAAACTTTAAAACCTTAAAATGGAAATGTTATATAAAATAAAACATTTTCACTGTATTTATTAGATTCATTTTAAATCTTGTTAATTTTTCCTATTTTTCGTTTTTAGTTAAAAAACGTAATTTTCTGTTCACTAAAACCTAAAATAAAAATTTAAATATAAAATGATTAATACTTTTGAAGTTTTTATATAATTACGCTTTGTTTGAGACCTAACATGACATTTAAAAAAATATTAGGGACCTAACTAATGTTCGAGGGTAGCAACCCCTTAAAATATTTTTTGATGAACTCTCCACAACACTTTTTTGAAACAAAGATTTAAACATATATATATATATATATATATTATATATATATATATATATATATATATATATATATATATATATATATATATATATATATATATAAATGAATAGATTTCAATATATAGAATATATTCGAGGTTAAGTATTTTGATGAAATAATACGAAGTCTCTTATACGTGTTACTATATATATATATATATATATATATATATATATATATATATATATATATATATATATATATATATATATATATATATATATATATATATATATATATATATATATATATATATATATATATATATATATATATAGGGGAGAGCGGGGTTGGTTGTCACAACGTTTACTACAAGAAATGTTAAAAAAAAAAAAGGTTTAAAACTTTAAAACCTTAAAATGGAAATGTTATATAAAATAAAACATTTTCACTGTATTTATTATATTCATTTTAAATCTTGTTAATTTTTCCTATTTTTCGTTTTTAGTTAAAAAACGTAATTTTATAAAAACTTTAAAAGTATTATTAAAAAAAGTATTAATACAAAGCGTAATTATATAAAAACTTCAAAAGTATTAATCATTTTATATTTAAATTTTTATTTTAGATTTTATGAACAGAAATATATAAGTATAATTATATATATATAAATATATATATATATATATATATATATATATATATATATATATATATTTATATATATATAAATATATATATATATATATATATATATAAATATTTATATATATATATATATATATATATATATATATATATATATATATATATATATATATATATATATATATATATATATATATATATATATATATATATATATATATATATATATATATATATATATATATATATATATATATATATATATATATATATATATATATATATATATATATATATATATATATATATATATATATATATATAAAGGAGAGCGGGGTTGGTTGTCACAACGTTTACTATAGGAAATGTAGAAACATTTTCACTGTATTTTTCAGCTTTTTTTTGCGTGTAGAAAAACTTTTATTCGTTTTTATAGGTTTTTGTTATGAAAAAGTTAAATTTCGCTCACTTTTTTAAAGTTTTTTATTAATTTGAATAACTTAATACACAAAATATTATAATGAAATTCACACGCTTTTAGGTGTGAATTTCATAATAATTTAAAGAAATATTAACAAGCATCGTAAATCATTTATTAATGGAAGAAAAAAGAATTGATATAATCTAAAAATCATCTTTAGATGATTTTAAGACTGTAGAAGTTTTTTTTTAGCCAAAAAAAAAATTCTGAAATTATCTAAAGATGAAGAGTATCTAGGTATTTGTTGTTTTGAATCATTTACTAAAAGCAGATCATAAGAACAGTGGACTTGCAAAAATGAGCTCATGAATAATGCACACCAGGCTTACACCAATTTATATGTAAATTATGTTCTTTATCTAACAGTTTTTAAATAAACCATTTTTAAAAATACTTAAATACCTAAAACCTAAAATAAATGTGTTTATAGTGTTATATTGAAAAAAAACATTTTTCGGTATATAGTACTTTTTTTTTTCAGTATATAGTTTTTTTTTTTTTTTTCCAGAATATTTAGATTTATTCTTTGTATTATATAATCTTTATATAACACAAAGAATTTATCGGTACTAGTTTTAAATATAATCAAAACGTGATAAGAAATATGACAACCAGCCCCGTGGGTGGGGTTGGTTGTCACACGGAAGAGGTATTTGATAAATGATTTTACAGAAAAAAATATTTAACTCAAAGACATAAAAATGTTGTAACATTTACCAGAAATAGTAAAATTACTTTTGGGCAAAGTTTGGCATTGACTTTGGCCGACTCTCTCTCTCTTTCTCTCTCTCTCTGTCTCTCTCTCTCTGTCTCTCTCTCTCTCTCTCTCTCTCTCTCTCTCTCTCTCTCTCTCTATATATATATATATATATATATATATATATATATATATATATATATATATATATATGTATATATATATATATATATATATATATATATATATATATATATATATATATATATACATATATATATATATATATATATATATATATATATATATATATATATATATATATATATATATATATATATATATATATATATATATATATATATATATATATATATATATATATATATATATATATATATATATATATATATATATATATATATATATAATGTTTATTTTAACAAAATATAAAATGGAATAATGAAATTATAATAAAACAAAAATATAATTTACCATCAATATCATATTTTATTGGAACTAAGTTTGAGTTAAGATTCTGAGTTAGAGTTGACAAACTCTGATTTTTCGGACCTAACACAATGATTTCATTGACCTAAAATATGTATTTCTACATTTTTAATTGATAAAAACACATAAACTAAAACTGAATAATAAAAAATTATTTAAAACTAAAGATAAACTGTTTAAATTAAAATAAAAAATTTAATTCAAAACTATAAAATATGAAATAAAAATATATAAAAATGAAATGTAACCAATTGTTCAACTTAAATCAAATAATAATTCCAATTAATAGTTAGATATAATGAGATAAAACAGTTATATGGGATTTATTTTTGTAGACTTTACCATAAATATATTGATTTCCTTATTTGGGTTACGTGGGCGGATTACGTTGAGTAGCTTGAATTAGGTATCGTGAGAAGAGGCGGTTCTGAGAATCAAATAAGAGGTGGGGTGAATCATAAAAAAATAATAACTCGTTCTTCAAAAAAAAATGTCCTCTAAACTAATATTCACTTGACTAAAATGTGTCAAACACCCGACTTGCCGACTATATTCCTCAAAAAACCGATTATAACTTAAAATTTACCTTTCATTGGAAGAAAGGGATTACAACCCACTATCCCCACTCCTCGCCTTATCACCCCCTTCCCCCGTAAAATAACCTTTAATTGTAGTATAAGTGGGGCAAAGCAGAAGTGAATAAGACATAAGTGTAAACATGAAGTTGGAAGCTCAATAAATACTTTATATGCTTCAGGGAAAATCTCAAACAAATATTATCAACATCCATGAGCGCCTGCAGGAGTTTTTGATGTTTTAGATAGAAAAAAGTTTTTGCAAGGTCTCCTCATGTGAGGATAGTGAAAGCCTGGAAACATTCGTTCGGGCGCCCATGTCAAAAATAAAACTGTCAAAAAAAAAAAAAAAAAACTTTAAGCAAATATTGTTAACAATTTCAAAAGACTCTCCAAAAAAATCTTGAAACTAGTAGAGTAAATAATGAAATAAAAGTCTATTACAAGTAAATTTATATAAAAAAGTATAATTGTATAAATATATATATATATATATATATATATATATATATATATATATATATAATATATATATATATATATATATATATATATATATATATATATATATATATATATAATTGTACGTGGAAGGTACCAAACTTTATTAAACCTACATCTTACTGGTGTACTGCAGTAAATAATTTATTAAAAAATAACTATACCGTAGGTTTGGTCTAAAATAAGATTTGCCAGATTCTCTTAACCCTGTAAAAGTTTATAAACTTACATTAATACGATTTAGATTTTTTTGCATACTGCGTTGTATACTCTGTATTTCTGACAAAATTTCCTTTGCATTGTAAGCACGCAGTTGCACTTGACAAATTATTACACAAATACAAACTTGCAATAATAATGAAGAAAAAAATATTAAACTCTTAGGGCTGAAAAAATTTGATTTTTCTTTTAACGAAGAATACATGCTGTTTGACTTATCAAATTAGGCTGATTTGACCTTAGAATTACAAAATAGTTCAACATGCTTTCAAATTTATATAACTTTCATTTTGTCACGTGTCATTTTAAAAAGTTTCGTATTAGTTTTGTGTCAAATATCATTTTCAAGTATAAAGTACGTATAAATATTGTTAGAACCTTAAACAATCTAACATTTTAAAGTATCACAAAAAGTGAAAGTGCAAACGAATGCTCAAAGTTTATGTTTCCATTTCTTAAAATATATTATAAATATAAATACTCAAAATATATGACATGTTGTCATGTCTTAGAAAAATATTAATAAAAGTATATGTAAACATTAAAAAAATCATTCCCAGTAAGCACAAGACGCATTTTAGACACTTATAGACGTCTAAAACTAGTCTAGGTAAAGACGCACTTTTATAGGCGTTATAAAGACATCTTTTAGACTTTTTTTATGAATGCGTCTTTAAAATGACGTTTAAAAGGCGTCTATTTAAGCGTGAAAAAAACGTCTAGAAGATATCTTTTTTTAAGACATCTTCTAGACGTCTTTAATAAATGTGATTTTAACATGACGTTTAAAATATGTCTTTTTAAAGTTTAAAAATACGTTTAAAAGACGCGTAATAAATAGTCTAAAATACGCATTAAAAGACGTCTAGATCAAAGCTAAAAGACGTCTTTTCTGAGACCTGTTTATAAATATGTCATTATGACTTCTTTTTGACGGCTTTGTCATTACGCGTTAAGTAGATGTTGTATATTCAAAGTAAAAACATAGTTTTTAATATTTTCAATAATTTGTTCAAGTTTTAAGTGTAAATTACTTTAAATTAAATTACTTTTTTACACAATTGCTAAAATTGTTGTCACAGGAATAACTAAAATAATTGCTATAATAATAATATATCTTTTTTTTATTAATAATTATTTTGCTTTTTTAATAGATAGTTGACTGATCATGATAATAAGTGAAAATGGCAAGAATAATATATAAGTTAAATATCAGTACTTTTAGTTTTTATACACCCACAAGCCATATAATAAGTCAAGATTGCGGTCAAAAATTAGCTACCTATAGGTAAAATAAATTTTTTATAACTAAAGGATAGTTGTAAATGTTTTAAATACTGTTTTGATATATATTTGTTATTGTTTATTATTATTTTCATCTTTGATGCATCAACCGTTGGTGGTGATTACAGCAATATTATTTTGATTGCTGGTTCCTATGTATATTTTGTACACACGAAATAATAACAATATATGATGCTATAAATACAATGAATATATACCACATACTACGCGAAAATGTTACGTCATGTACTTAAATTTATCTTGATAAAAGCGTCTAACATACGTCTAAAAGGCGTTTTTATAAAGACGTCTTCATTTAGACGTCTTTTAGCCTTATGATCTAGACGTCTACAAGTGCGCCTTTTAGACCTCCTTAAAGACATCTTTAAAACGTCTTTTAAACGTCTTTGTGCTTACTGGGTTGTACATTCACGATTATTTTTTAAATGTTTTAACTCTAAAAACTTAGATATAATTAAACTCTAAAAAAAAAATATTTTGTCTTGAATAAAAAAAATGTATGTTTTGAATAAAAAAAGCATATAAAAAAAATTTATTAAAAAAAAAAAATCATTGTTGAAGGTTGATTATTTTTACATAACTCACACTGTAAAAAAAGTTATCGTGCTTAAGCACCTAATAATCTTAGTTATCACCATTTAAAATCTAATTATAACAATCATCACAGCGAAAGCGAGAGCATCTAATCATCATGATCATCACCACGAGACGTATACGCATCTTACATTGAAGAATAAGTTTTTTTATGGTAGCGTGAAATCTACCAATTCACAACAATATAGACTGTATCCATATTTTTGAAACTGTTTTAAATAAGACAATATAACTACTGGATAGCAGTCAGTCTATAATCTGGCTAAGAAACAATATTTATAAACAATGTAACTAAGAAACAATTTAAAGCCCTTACACGCCTAAAAATAGTGTTGAGCCGTAGGCTACATTATGTCGCGTAGAATACAACAATCAGTTTGACGCCGGCTACACCAACACTATGTGGCTTTAAAAGCCACACTTTAGTGTTGCATTCGTAAGGCTACATAAAATGTAGACTTGAAAGACACACTTTGTGGCCCTTAATGCGACACTTTTGTAGAAATTTTTTTGACATAATTGTTACATTTAATCAATGGCTGTATATATACGCTCTTTTTGCGCGACAAAACTGTTGTAAAAAAACCTCAAAATTAGTGTTGCGCTAAATGCAACAATATAGTTTATACACTAATCTGTGTTTTTCTAGACGTTATAAATGTTTTGATTTTTTGTAAGTATATTTATGCGTGATTTATTCCGCCCATTTAGGTCTTCACGTACTATGTATATAACCGGGCGCAATTAAATAATTCAAATAAAGAATGCTATTTATATCATATACTAAATTAGGCATTGTCATTTAGAGTCATATACTAAATTACAAATGTATATATTAGATTGGCTTACAAGAAATAACGGAACGATATCACAATAAAATAATAAAAACTGAAATATAAATTTTATTTTAACTCCGAGTCGATGCATTGTTATAGTATTTCTTTTAAGTATATAAACTCAGTTCAAACTTAAACTCAATTCAGTGAATATTAACTTAAAAAATCTTAAAGTCTTAAAACATTTATATGCAAAAGCGAGTTAAAACTTTGAAAAATAGATACCGCCGTCAGAGAAGAACCGTTTTTTTGTCCATTATCAATAAATATTCAGGAGTGTGTGTTCCATAAATATACCACAACAATAAAATTTTAGGAAATATTATATCAGTACATAATCAGTCGAATTTTCTGGAAGAAAGTCTTCGTGATTTAAAATTTAAAACTTGATTTTCTTGAAAACACAAAAAAAAGACATACGGCCTCTTGGTTCTAGGCTGACGATATAACAAAAATAAACAAGAAAGTGATAAAAATACTTTTTCGTTTCACAAACATATTGCTTAATTTAATCTTAAACTTTTGGCAATACTTTCTTTAAAAGGAATTGACGATAATTCTTTTGCTGTTTATTCCGAGCAAATTTCCCATAAATCCATATACACAAATAAGTTCATGAGGAAAATTGACATTAAATACATAATAAGAGACTAGCAGCAACTCAAAAGCTAATCTAATACTCGGTATGGCTTCCAACCGTATAGCTGTATTATCGACTTATAATTAGAGTTATAATTTGAATTATAAATAGAGTGCCACAACACTTGAATAAAATCAGTAGAAAACCTTTCTCCTTCTTCAATAACTCAAGGGAGCTTCAAGACTGAGGTGTACCTAAATGTTTAAGTAAAATTTTAAAAATGCAGAAAATACAAAGCTCAAAAAAGTAATACTTTTTGATTATAAACCAAATTTAACTTTAAAAAAAAATGCATAGAAAAAACTTACATCCATTTCTCTATAAAATAAAGCCAAAATTGCATTAAGATCCATTCTTGGACTCTTCTTACCCTTCTGTGGAGGTGCTATCATAAGAAAAGGGAGCGCCTTAAATGCAAGCAAAGTTGCATCTTCTAAATAAAAATAAAAATAAATCAGGGAACAACTTGTATATACTTATAAACCTTCATAGGTAGATTATAAAAAACCTTCTTTTGGATTAAAAGGGTATATTACATAAGGAACTAATAAATGAAATAAGATGAGAAAGAGAAACTTTGCACTTTTGCAGATTGGCACATAGTCAAGTTGCAGCAACTTAGTACTTATGCAGATTGACAATTATGTTGTAAAAACTCTTATTTAAGTTATAAAGTTCTTATTTATTCATTCTCCCCACTTAGGGTAGAAGACATATATATACCTCCATTATATTAGTCTTTTGACAAAGTATTTTTGAACATTAAATCTTTTGCTAGTAACAAAATGTTTTATTTGCAAGTGTTAAAGCCATCATGCAATGTAATATTACTTGATACCTCTTAAATGAAATGAAACTATCTTTGAATTCCCTCATTAGTTTCATATCTAAGAGGGCCCATGTTACATGTTTCAGAAGTTACAAAAAGAGAATTTTTTTCTAAGTGTTTATCTTGTTTATATAATGTGTCTTGAGTGGCTCATTGCAATGTATAACACTACTTTCAAACTTACTCTTAAACAATAATAGAGTGGAATCTGCTCTAATGTCATTGAAAACTGATAAAGCAGCATTACCAATATCATCGCTCGAAATAACAGCCGATCAATGATCAGCAATGTTTGAAGAAATTTCGAAAAATTCAAGGAAAACCTATTTTTGTGAAATAATTACATTTGATTGGCAAGTTTTGAAAAACTGTTTGAGCGCTGCAATATAGGAAACTAATGATTATGAAATTACTGTTAACAGAAACAATTACTTCAGGTATAATGTAATAAGGAACAATGCTGCTTGTTCACAATGAAGAAACTAACAAAGGATCAATATATTCTATTGTTTTTTCAGGATAAGTGTAAACTTGATAAGTAGAATTCTCTGGGAAACTAGGCAATGAATATTCTGAAAAATTAGGCAATAAATCGTTACAATTATCATTTAATGGATTACTATACATTTTGGCTCAGTTAAACAATTTCGCCAATACTATTATGACGCTGTAGATGATTTTGAAAAAAAATCAATAGTTTCGTAAAAGTATCATATATATTGCAAATAAACATTTTAATAACTTTTATCAGAAAATATATATATATATATATATATATATATATATATATATATATATATATATATATATATATATATATATATATATATATATTTATATATATATATACATATATATATATACATATACATATATATATATATATATATATATATATATATATATATATATATATATATATATATATATATATATATGTATATATATGTATATATATATATATATATATATATATATATATATATATATATATATATATATATATATATATATATATATATATATATATATATATATATATACACACACAATATATACATATTATAGCACTATAAATCATAGTTGCCATTGTGCATTTATTGCATATATTAATATAATTTTATTAGAGTGCTTTCATAGGTATGATAAAATTACTTAATACATTATTTCAACATGCAACATGACTAAAAATCATAATCATAACTAATAAAAATCATTATTGAATGATATATCATGCAATAATGATTTTTATTAGTTATCTCAGCAAAAAAAAAGATATCTACATAATGTAAAGTATACCTTAATGATATACATATATATCTAGTTGCTAACATATGATAACTTAAATAGTTGTTGTTAATATAACTAAAATGCTGCTATTTTAACTAAAATAACACCATTATCATATTTATTTAATAATATCTATGTATTAAATATTTTCCATTTTGTTATAACATAAAAATTAACTTTAACAACATTAACATTAACGTTTAACATAAACAATATTATTTAACAAGTTATGTTAACAACATTACTTGTGTTATGTTAACAGATTACCAGTTAACTGGTAATGCTATGTGATTTTATTTAAACCTATATTTTACACATTTTTTTTAGACTTATGTTATTATTTTATATAATTAATGTTATATAATTATGTTATAATTTTTATAACTTCATAATAATGTTGTTAACGTAATTAAAATAATTGTATTAACATTTTAATACAATATATATAAAATAATAACATTAGTCTATTTAAATAAAATCACACAACTAATTCATGTAGTAATGTACTACAAACCGAAGGTCTTACCTAATTTTTAAAAACTGAAAATTGACATTTTCCTCGCTTAACATAAAAAAAAAACATGATTCTAGCCTCTTGTTCGAATAATTCGATACGAGAATCCAAGAAAGTGCAACACAAAGTGTGGCTTTTTTACGCATATAATGAAGTTTAATTTCATAATTACAAGTGTGGCTTTAAAGCGCTCAAGTGTAGCCTTGAAGTACACAATTTGTGTAGCCAAAAAGACGCTACACTAAGTGTCGTGTTTTTTGTCCACACTATTTTTAAGCGTGTAATAAATACACTTCTGATTCAAAGTATTATACAAAAAAATAATTATCAAAGTATGTAACTCACTTGTGAGTGACATACTTTGATAATTATTGAAAACTTGCCTTTCCTGTATGTATTCAAATACATTGAAAACTTGCCTTTCCTGTATGTATTCAAATAAAAATTAAAAATGTTTGATCAACAATACCATTGTGCAGTTTATTAACTTGTTTTCTTCACTTTTACTCTTATTGAAGTTTTCTTATTATAGGTGTTGCAGAAGTGTAATTTACTAATTACCTGTCTCACCCTTTCATATTTTGTACAATTTTTAAATGGAAATAAATAAAAAGTAAAACCATTATTTACGAAGAAATAGCCACAAACGTACGACCCGTAGTGCCGCGTAAAAGTTTTATTTTATTTTCATCAGGTATTTTTTTTCACTTTAACACAGAACGCATACAACTCTTTTTCGACACCCATTATACATTGACAACAGCAACCAATCTCTACCATCTCCAAACCGTGTCACATGATAGAGCCGAAAATATTTATCCTCGAAAATATCACCGAAATATTTCACAACCGAAATTTTAGAACCGAAAAGTTACTTTCATTGCAGGATCAAATTACAAAATCCTTTCTTGCGCTGAAAGTTTTTAAACCGATTTTTACAACCGAAAAAATTTGGATCGAATTACAAAATCCTTTCTTTTTTGAATCTATTTTTTTTTTTTTTTTCAGTTTAAAAAGTTAGTCGTTTTACAATAAAATAAACAATTAAAATTTCTTTAAAAAAAAAAATATATATAAATATAAGTCAAACAAATATAATATAAGCCAAACAAACCAAGGGATCATTTCTCTTCAAGAAAACTTATTTGTGTTTGCTGTGGTGATAAGAATTTAAAATGCATTGAACTGGTAACTGGAAATCCTTTACTAATCTTGATTCAACTGTATGCCAACACTAACTATAATATGACACTTTTTTCCAACCCTATTGGGTTATGTCCAACCTGCCAGATTTATTTGTACTCAGCTAAAAAAGGAGAAACTTTATCACTAGTTACTTTGGAGAGGTGGTTGCTCACATCAGAGAGAATAAAGTTACTTCCGAGATTTAAAGGTAATATTTTTACTTATACTTACTTATGCATATAATAAAAGCTATAAATAATATGAATAAACATTTGTTTATATATATAAATATAGGTGAGACAGTGTCAACATGTGATTGCCTGCTCTGTATCATGTCAAGAGATAAATCCAAATCTATAAACCTTCAGGTAATTTATAAAGAACTCATATATGTAGCTCAATTATTTACATTAAAAACATTTATAAAATTATAACTTTTATTATAGTTTAATTAACTATATTTTAAATAAGTATAGTTTTTTATTTATTTAGGATGTATTAAACATGTACATTAATGACCCTGAAGTACCAAAGGAGATCATAGATAAAATTTGTTGTACTTGTTATCAAAGAATTGGATCTGGAATTCAACATCCCTGTAATAAGAGAGACATTGTACAGAACCTAAAAACACTGCTAATGTCAACAGGTAAGAGCTTAATTATAGTTTTTTTAAACTAAATTTTTACGTAATCTTAAAACATATTTACAAATTTTCAGGTTTAAAAACAGTTGAGCAAGTACTTAGCAAATCTCTGAAAGAAATTCAACAATTTAAAAATATTGAGTTAGATAACACTATTACTTTGTCGACTGGAGGAACTCCTTTAAGTCTCCAGATAGGGAAAAAGCCAACCCTTAAAACTATCTCTACCCAAACTTTCTATAATATCAAAAGAAAGCATGATATGTCAGACTATACTATTGATTCAATAGCGATGGAATTAAGAAAAGATTTGGGTAGATTAGGTGTGGAATCTAATTCTTCCAAAAAAAATAAGATAATGTCACATGCCTTAAATAACTATTACTCAGTGGAAAAAGTGGAATTTCTATCCAAAAATAAAGTTAAAGAAAATAAAACAATTGAAACTGTCATTAAAGATCTAGTGTATGTCAAAGATCCAGTATCTCTAGTTAATCATGTTTGCATTGCTAGGGGACTAGAAGTCGAGAACGTTATTATTCGTATAGGAATAGATAGTGGCCAAGGATCTTTAAAAGTTATTATGAATGTTTTTAACAGAGAAGTAAATTATGACTCCAAAGAAACCAAGAATACTGGAGTGAACAAAGTTATAATATTGGCTTTTGCCAAAAATGTTTGCGAAAGCCACACAAATCTTCAAATTCTTATAGAAAAAACAAAGCTAAACAATTTAAAGTTTTACCTTGCTGCAGATCTTAAACTATGCAACATAGTTTTAGGTTTGTCAGGACATGGAAGAAAATATTCGTGTTTATTTTGTGATGGCGATAAAACTAATCTTGGAGAACTGAGAACCTTTAATATGCTTAAGAACACGTATAAAAACTTTGCTGAAAGTGGATTTAAAAAAAGCTTCATGCAACTCTATAAGAATGTTATACATCCATGTCTCCTGGTTGAGTCTGGAGAGATGTATGTGCTTGATGTCATCCCTCCTCCAGAACTTCATTTAATGATGAAGATTATAACAGAAATTTCAAATGTCTTCTGTAAGGAAACTGATGTTGCTCTTTGGTTAAAAAAGCATGGAATTATTTGGCATGGGTATAATGGAGGTGGACTGGTTGGTAGAAATGCTAACAAAATACGAAAGCTTTTGCCAGATTTGGAAAAATTTATCTTAGATAACTTTTCTTCTTATTATCCAGTTGTTGAACTGTTAAAGTCTTTTTCTTCAGGTAAATTTTAAATATACTTAATTTTACAAAGTATTTATATATTAAAAGTTAATTATGGTTTTAAAGGAAATATTTATTGAATCAAAAGCAATTTCTCACAAATGACACTAAAATTTACATTTAGTAGTAAACATGTGTTTCGGAATGAAACTCCATGACGGTTATGCTGATGCCATTGCAACATATAAAAGAAAGTTAAAGGTAATAGTTACATAAATGCATAAACAGCTCATACATTTAAAAATAAAGTTTTAATTTTTGTTTATATTAATCATTTTTTAAATAATTAATTTAGGAAAACCAAGAGTATGTGAAGACTACATTCAACCACAATCTTTCTATGGGATGGAAAGGTCATATAATTGAACACCATCTTGTCATGTTTTTAAATAGAACTAAGCTGACATTGGGAGTATTTTCTGAACAATGTTCTGAATCTGTTCATCATAATATGTTGAAAACACTGAGCAGATTCTCAACTTCAGAATTCAGAGAGAACCATGGAGAGCTTCTTAGAAAGGCATTAGTTGAATATTCAAGTTATAGAATTTAAGTTTTTTCTTTGCTATTGATTACATAATTATACATATCTTGTATATTATATAGTTTTGAAGATTACATTAAATCAGTATATATTATGGATTATATTATACTGTTTCAGAGTATATATATATATATATATATATATATATATATATATATATATATATATATATATATATATATATATATATATATATATATATATATATATATATATATATAGCAGATGATTTTCCATGAAATAAAATATAATTTTATTATCTAATACAATGTTATACAATAATATTGCAGATTAGGCTTTATTATATCATGAGTATTACACTATATTTTAATGTAAAGTAAACTTAATTTTTTGTAGTTTTATTTTAAATGGTTATATCTTTTGAACGCCAAGATATTTTTTATTGAATTTTTGAATATGTATCTGATGCTTGATTTTTCTAAAGATGGCATAATTTTTTTTTTTTTAATAAATAAAGGGGGGCAAGGGGAGGGGGAAAAAGATGCCCTGATCCCCTTTAAAAATTGATTTTCTCATCAGGACGTACACCAAATAATTTGTTCTTTTCATAATATTGTCTGTATAATAGTCCTGAACACTTTGTAATAAAATTTTTTTAAGTAATCAAATTTTCAACCTAAACGACCTAGAATTGACTAGTGCGGTGAACAGACGTGTTTATTTTTGAACGAAGAAAATTTTTAATTTTTATTTATTAATTTTTTTTTATTTTTATCAAATATTAAATATGGCAGTAACCATTTGTGAAATTCGAACAATGTTTAAGGAAATGTTTGCGGAGTACAAAAAAGATATAGTATTACTTATAAAACAACAAGAAGAAAATATGCTTAAACTCATCAGTGCGAACGCAAAAATAACGACCGACCGACAACAAAAAGCTGAAACAAACATTAATTACAGCATGGAAAAAATTAAACGATTGGAAAAGGATGTACTTGATATAAAGGAAAGTTTAAATTTTCACGAGGAACTCATCGAAAAAAAGGTCAAAAATAGTATTGAGTCTATTTAAAAAAAAAGAGTTTGTCAAAACGAAGCACATAAAAGTGACGAGTTTATTGACTTTAAAAAAAATTTAGACAAATTGACGATCGATCACGAAAAAATAACCTTAGGATTGATGGCATCAAAGAAAATGAAAATGAAACGTGGTCTGAAAGTGAAATAAAAGTGATTAAACTTTTTGAGGAGTCTTTAGGAGTGGAAAATGTGAGAATTAATAATTATAATACTAATAATTTTAATCATAAAATATCTGAAAGCCAAAACTATACAGTTATTGAATCTTCTCAATACCTTCAAAAAAATAAAAATAGTTTTTTAATTTTAAACATTAATATTCAAAGTTTAAATAAAAATTTTGAAAATCTTAAATTTTTATTGGATGAATTAAAACACAATTTTAAAATTATTTGTCTTACGGAAACTTGGTGTAAGTGTGGTGAAACAAATGCGCAATTTGAACTAAATAATTACAAACCAATTCATCAACCACGTCATTTTGGTGTTGGTGGGGGCGTAAGTATTTTTATCCACAACTCAATTAATTATAATTTACGTAAAGATCTCTGTGTGAATGAAATAGATTGTGAGTCATTATGCATTGAATTAATAAATAAAACCACAAAAAAAGTAATTACAAATACCACATATAGACCTCCATCTACTAGCTTAAAAAAATTTAAAACACATCTTAAACCATTCTTAACAAGTATAAATAAAACCCGAAGTCATGCCTACTTAGTCGGGGATTTTAACATTGACCTAAAAAACCATGCTTCCAATAATAATATTAACAGTTTTGTAAACACTCTTCTTCAAAATAATTTAATTCCGACAATAAACAAACCAACGAGAGTGACTAACAACTCTTCTACGCTTCTTGATAATATAATAACTAATAACTATCATAATAGCCATCTTTACACAGGCATAATCAAAACTGACTTATCGGATCATTTCCCAACATTCCTAGTTACTAACAATATATTATTTAACGGTGTTCCTTCTCAATCCATTACATTTAGGCGACAGATCAATGAAAACTCGGTAAAACAATTTCAAAATCTTTTAAGAGACAACGTTAATTGGGATCTGGTATTGCAGTCACATGACGTTAACAACGCATATGATCTATTTTTAAATCAATTCTGTAATCTATATGATCAACCATTTCCTGAAAAAAACCAAAAATTGTAAAAAAACCAAACTGTAAAAACCAAAACTGTTTTAACTCCATGGATGTCTAACGGGTTAATAAAATCTTCAAAAAGAAAACAAAAGTTATATGATAAGTACTTGAAAAAAAAAAACTTATAAAAACGAAATGATATATAAAAGTTATAAAAATATATTTGAAAAAACAAAAAGAAACTCAAAAAAGCTTTATTATGAAAAACTATTAAGTAAAGACACCGGAAACGCTAAAAAAACATGGAGTTTAATTAAAGAAATTATCGGAAAAAATTATTATCCAAGAAACATTCTTCCAAAAAAAATAACAATTGATAAAAACACAATTTATGATAAATCAATTATTGCTGAAAAACTAAACAGCTTCTTTACTAATGCTGGTCCGAATTTGGCATTAAAAATTCCAATGAATTCAGCACCATTTGAATCTTTTTTAAAAAATTACGATAAAGTTATGGATGAACCTAAGTTAAAACTAATTGAATTGCAAACCGCCTTTTTTTTACCTTAAAACTAACAAAAGTACTGGATTTGATAAAATTAACGTCAATGTTGTAAAATCAGTATATAATATAATAGAACCCTCGTTATTTCACATATTTAATCTATCATTTAAAACAGGTATTGTCCCTGAAAAGTTAAAAATTGCACGAATCACGCCAATATTTAAGTCCGGAGATGACTCAAATATTTCTAATTATAGGCCTATATCTATTTTACCTTGTTTTTCAAAATTACTTGAGAGAATAATGTACAATAGGCTTTTTAATCTCTTATCAGAAAACGACATGTTGTATTCAAAACAATTTGGTTTCAAAAAAAAAAATTCAACGGAACATGCAGTGGTTGAACTAGTAAATCAAATATCAAATGCATTCAGTTGTAACTACTTTACCTTAGGAGTTTTCATTGATCTGTCAAAAGCTTTCGATACCGTTAATCATAACGTACTAATAAAAAAAACTTGAACACTATGGAGTAAGAAATAACAATTTACTTTGGTTCAAAAGTTATTTGACCGATAGAAAACAATTTATAGTGTATGAACAAAAGCAAACATTGCTGTCTGCTATAACTTGTGGGGTTCCTCATGGCTCTATTTTAGGACCTCTGTTGTTCCTAGTATACATTAATGATTTAAATTTAGAAACAGACCTATTAAATTGTATTCTTTTTGCAGATGATTCCAATCTAAACCATTTTTAAACAATAATTCTTTAAAAAGTTTGTATTTCTCTTTTATTCATTGTTACTTAATTTATTGCAATATTGCATGGGCAAGTACAAACCATACAAAATTAAAAAAATTGTACTGCAAACAAAAACACGCGTGCAGAACAATATTTGGAGCTGACAGAACTGTACCTTGTGAGCCTCTTCTGCGTATACTTGGAGCACTAAATATATATAAAATCAAGTTACACCAAGTTTTAATGTTCATGTATAAAACAAATATAGGGTTATCTCCTAAAATATTTCAATCCTATTTTGACAAAATAGTTCATAAATATCCAACAAAATTTTCAAATAACAACTTTGTTGTCCCAAAATATAATTCAAAACTAACTTCATATTCAGTTCTTTATCATGGACCTTACTTGTGGAAAATGTTTCCCAAGATTGTAAATACACATAAAACTAGTATAGAACAATTTAAAAATGAATCAAAACAGGCATTCTTACTCATGGATTTTAATATATCTGATTTTAAATGTTTTTTTTAACTAAAACTCAAATACAAAAAATTATTATTACAAAAATTATGTCACTGAGTGTATCAATATTATTTTTTCATTAGCTTAATTATGGTATTACCTCTATTGCGTTTGCTAATTTATTTACGTTATTTCTATGAAGTATACTAATTTATTTTTGTTATTTCTATGGTATACTTTTTTTTTTTTTTTTTTTTTTTTTAACTTTTTATTTTTAAATCTTAGTTTAAACTTTTAAGTTTTAAGCAAATAATAATATCTTATTTATTTATTTTCACTTGATCTTACTCTTTCTTTAAATTTTGATTCTTTTCATTTTTTCTTTAAATGACAACGAATTTTTATTTATTTTACTTTTATATTTTTCTTTTTTAATAAATAGTTTGTTAACTATAGATATTTAAATATTACGGTTTTTGTAAATACGTGAGAATGAGGCTCGGTGATAAGACTAAATAAGTCTTCTTCTTGCCCCGCCAATATTTATTGTTATTTATATGCTTCGAAACTGTATATTATTAAACGGCAAAATAAACAATATATATATATATATATATATATATATATATATATATATATATATATATATATATATATATATATATATATATATATATATGTAAAAACAATATAAATAGTTGTAAACAACAAAACTTTGGAGAAAAAATAATAAAAATAAAATAAAGTTGTATAATAGATAAATTAATTAGTAGTACTCTAAAATGATATCGAGGGAAAAAGTTAGTTTTTTAATTTTGTTTTTGAAAAGACAAAAAGAATTTGGTCAACATTTGGTAAAACAAGTTTATTCCACAGGTGCGGTGCACGATAGGCAAGACAAAACTAATTTAAATTGGTTTGACAAGAAGGTTCGTTAAATTTTTTTTTTTTAAAAGAGTATTTGTTGCTGGGGTTTTAATTGAAAAGATTTTTAAAGACTGGCGGGGATAGATGGTTTTTCCGCATATAAACAAAGGACAAAATTTTCATAACGTTGAGTTCAAATATCTTTAAAATTTTAACTTCAATAAATAAAGTTTACAATGAAAAAAATGATCAGCAAGGTTAATTATGCGAATTGCTAGTTTCTGGCAGCGATAAAGACGATGTAATTTACTTTTTTCAGTACTTCCCCAGGCAATATTAGCGTAGTTTATGTAGCAGTGAATAAATGAGAAATA